CAGCGTGATCGGGGTGCTCCTGGTCTGCCTCTAATACAGAGGCAGACCGGAGCACCGTTAACCCTGCGATCGCGGCGATCTGGGGTTAACTTTAGTAAATGACGGAAATTTTCCGTCATAGGTCCTTAACTGAAGGACAAAGTTGACGGAAAATTTTCGTCTGCGGTCGGGAAGGGGTTAAGCCAATTGCTTCTGGCAATGACATCACCAGCCTGGCCACTGGTTTAGGAATACACTGAAAAATAAACAGAGGTAGGAAGGATACAGTCTCTTTTTTTTTTTTCCTCTCCCCTTGACTGTCTAAGAATGTAGCCGCTGACTGTGTAAGCTTGTTGGTGTTTTGTATTGAACCATATGAATCCATTGTAACATTTAGCAACTGTTATAGCCTTTTGTAAATTAATACATTGTAGTTATGTATTGTATGATTATTGTAGTAAATTGACATTCTGCTAGCATCTGTTTACTTGTCATAATTATGTTAACTATACATTTAATATTACGTTTTGTGTATTTTCTATCAACATATTTGGCCATAATACTACGAATTATATAACTACTACAGCTATGATGGTACATGCCGAGGCAGGCCACTCCAAGTCTCCACTCTCCTCTCTGACTGGCTGCTGGAAGAAATGGGAAGAGAGGGGAGGCGGCGGCGGGAATCTCAACCGGGTAAAGCGAGTTCTGAGCTCCTGGATCCATGTGTCCACCGGACACCATGAGATGGGGTCACTGGCGGCATTACTGGCTGTTATCGGGGCTCTCTCAGTATCGGGGGTCTCAGGTCAGTGTCCGAATTCTAAGGGGTCATTACTGAACCTTCCTAGTGTGCCGTGTTACCCGGGGTCCGGTAATGAGACCTGCACCGTACGCGATGTCAATGCTGTGTATGTCTGTGTGTGTCTGCGGTCGGTATTCGATGCTGAAGTGATCGCTGCCATTAATGGAACCGAGTGTTCGATCCTGGCGTTCGATGGAACTCCGGAGAATGGATCTGTTCTTATAGCGTTTGTTCCCTATGAACACCGTAATAGCTGCATTATCATTACTAGACCGCCCGGTATGGAGAGATTGTCTGTACAACACGACAACAACGGGGAAAAGCAGGCTGCAAACTGCACCGACACAGGTAGGTAAACCCCATGGGCGCTGATACAAATTATGTCATTCTGTGTTATGATTAATGTATTGGGTAAGATTAAACATTAAGTGGGGGAGGGGGTCAGGACTGGCCATAGATCACCATAATTTAAAGAATTCTATTCTCTATGACCCCCCTGTCACTCACACTGTCCTTCTCTGATCTTCATTTTACATTAAATC